ATGTAGCAACCTTTGCTGACTCATTTCACTTCAGCCAATAAAACTCAGCAGGACACATCAACTTGTTGATATATTGTGATATAGCTTCATTATCTGTTGTCAGGAATTTTACACAGCCAGACCATTATCCTTTAAATAAAAACGGTAAATATATAACAGCAATTTGAGAGTTTATGTTGGGTGTACAGCTTCAGAGAGGCCTGTCATGACAACAGAAAGCAAGGGATTATAATAGCAGGGAGATGCAAATTGAAAAGAGAGGAGACCAGACTTCAAGAAGTGCCTGCTGAAAACAGAGAGCACATTCCTGAGCTGGATTCAGAGATGGCTAAGCCAATGGATAGGGCTGCACCATTTGCATTTTGATCTCATAAGCCAAGTCAGCAAATTGACATGATACTGCTAGATAGTAAACCTAGCAAAACAACTGGCTGGGAGGTTATCAGATCCTTCTCTCAACTGTCGGAAGACAAAGGTTATTCTACAACTTCTTAAAACACCAACATTTTTTTCAAGCCATTTATTGTCTTATAATTCCCTTATATCACACAATTTGTCAAACTGGACTTTCAATTTCAAGTACAGCCAACAACTTTCTGAATCTGGTGGTCTATTTCTGTCAATACTGGAACCAACATCTTCATCCCAACAACCACCACAGAGTGGGAATACAGCCAAGCTACAGTTTTGTAGCTTCCCCCACCCCCAAATGCTCTTTCTTTTAAATTATTTTTCCTAGTTCAGCCTTCATATATTTATCAGTCAGACTTTTTTCTTTTCCATTTTATTGCAGATTTTATGATTTTTTTCCCCTTATAAGCGTTTCCACTCCAAATGCAGTTCCCCACGTCAAAGATGACTTACACCATTGTCACTATAATTCTAGCTCACAGATTCAGCTGAGGGGCATTTAATTAGTCACAGGTAGGGGAGGCTCAATCCCGCAGAGGGTCTGACTACCCTGTAACAGCGAACATCTGAATACTTGAACATATAGGTCATGACACAACCCCCATTGAAGTCAATAGAAAGAACTCCCTTGACTGGTTCAGCCTTGGTCTTGGATTTTTGACACTTGCATAGCTATGATGATTAAATGGTGTTTTGGTAGCAGTATGTGAAATCCCAGACGGTACAGACATTGGGCCAAATCCTATTTCACTTTGTGGACTCAAATGGCATGTAACACAGCTGCACAACTGCAGTATTTGGCACTTATGTGACTAATCTCTGTGCACGCAAGCCCATGTGAGCATTGTTCAGTAGGACTGTGCTCTAGCTAGGCAGCTGTGCAGGAAACAGGAGTGGCCAGGCATGTGCATAAGCACGTAAGCCCTGAAATATTAGTTACAGAAAAGCCATGGCAGGGGAGGGAGACCTCCTACCTTTTAGCCTAGTAGGGAGGGAGAGGAGACCCAGGTTCTAGGTCATATTCACCCTGAAGGGTTTTGAACCAGAACTTCCTGTTCCTTAGCAAAGTGCTCTAACCACGAGACTACAGGCTAGACATTAAGCCAATAATTCTCAACCAGGGTGCCTTAAGATCCTTTCAAGGGTGTTTCAGGATACCAGCAATCTTAGCATTTTTAGGTGTGCAAATGTGATTCACTAGAGTGTGGTTTCCATAACTCCCTGCCTGTGGGCTAGGGCACTGCACTGGCACATAGGTTCACACCCCATTTGTACCTCACTGGTCTTGAACCCAGATGTCTTGCTTCCTGAGCAAGTGGCCTAACCACTAGGCTATGGGGGTTAAAAGATGAAAGACCTTCCCTTTCTGACAGTTACATGCACAAGGAGAAATAGACTCTCATACCACACATAGGTACTAAAGTCTTCAATCACAGAGCTGTGCAAGTAAAAAGAAATGGGTTTTAGTCCATTGTCTCCCCAAGTTACTCTTAACATACAAGGTAAGAGAAAAGAAAATCCAGTAAGATTAAATGGTAAAAGAAAGTGCACTTTGTGTGTCTGTGCTCACTGGCTTATTTACTTTATGAAAACAATGCAGAAATAACCACATTGGGCAAACTGAACCCATTAAAGCAGGATTTGGCAAAGTGCACATCTACACAAGAAGATAGTTATCTTCACAGATCACTAGAATTAGGGGTACACAGATAAAAAATTTTTGGGCTGATACAGATGCCTGATTATTAATGAGCCATATAGATGGCTGATTATTAATGAGCCATATCGGCCAATACTGATCTGATTGCTGATATGCAGCCTGGCAGCTTGGAAAGCAGCAACTGGCTGGTAAGTCTGTTGTGGGGGAAAGGGCAGGGTGGGGGCAGATTGAGGCCCAGCTGGGCAGGCACTGCCTGACTGGGGCAGGGTAGAGTGCGGGGCGGAGCCATGAGTAGCTGGTTCAGGGGACAGAATTTGCTGTAGCCTTCGGTATCCTCCACTCCCAGTGCCACCACTCCCTGCCCTGAGCACAGCCCCGGCCCAACTTTCCCACTGGGAAGAGCCTAGCCTGCAGTGGCCTGCCCTTGTCCTGCCCACAGATCCAGGGAGCACACAATACCCATGTCTCCCCTGGGGGGTATGTGCAGCGGTGGGAGGCATCTCTCTGTTCCCCACACCCCCCAGATGAACCGCTCACAGCTCTGTACCATGCTCTGCCCTGGCTGGGTAGTACCTGTCCCAGCCCCCATCCTTCCTCACCATAGGGGTCTCAATCTGCCTCCCCCGCCCGCATGCCCCTTCCTTCACTTCCCCCACCAACAGACTTACCAGCTGGTTGCTGCTCTCCAAGCTGCCAGGTTGGCCGCATGCATGCTGTGGCTGCACGCATCATTTATCAACATTTTTGGCCACATCAGCCAAAAAAGGCGATGGCTGATAATGTCAGTTTTCCTTTCATTGGTGCCAATACAATACAGACTGATGTACTGGTGCACCTCTACTTGGAATGCTTGGAATTTTAGCCTGAGGTGCTAATTTAGCTGAGATGTAAACTAAACCCTGAAAATGGCCCCTATGAAGGTGCTCCTGCAGATAAGCACACTGCAAACTATTAATCACTCCATTTGAAAACATAGAAGGCAGACTGCATGAAAAAGGCATTTTTTTCTCCTAAGAACTGTCTGCTCTGAATTGTCCTAGGGGTGAGGACAACAGTCAGCTCTTTGACTTACTGCTCACTGAACTACCCTATTTATATAGGTGAGCACTAAGAATTTCTTATTTATATGCACAGTATATTAAGTTATTTAAACAACTTTGTGATATCTACAGATAACTAAATGCGTTTCTTTTGTCGGATACCCTGGACCCAACCCAATGCCATTTAAAATCAATGTTATTTCCAATTGGGTCAGGATGTGTGTAGAAGTAGCAGGCTAGTACGCTACTGGTTTACAGTGGCTTCAGCCAATGTAAGCTGGGCTTGTGACATCCTATCAAAGGGAAGATGTTCCATCAAAAAGAAGCCATACCATCTCTGCTTCAAGTAGGGTCAGCATTCCCTTAAATGTGGACAATACTGACAAAGAGGGGATCAGGATGGATCTTTTCAATGCATTCCCCCATCAGCCTTTGTTGATAAAATTTCAAATGGAACCTGCAGCTTCTCTTTATACAACATAAAACTTTGATGAAGGAAGGTGACAAACTACCAAGGCAGTGGACAAGCAGAGATTCACTTTCAGGGCTTTGTTTGTACAGAGAGGTGTAACTTAAACTATCTTTCCTCAGCCAATGTCCACCTAGGCCAGTGGTGGGCAAAATGTGGCCTACGGGCCAGATGCAGCCAACCAAGCCATTCTATCTGGCCCGCGGGGCCCATAAAAAATTTAGAAAATGAATATTAATCTGCCGTGGGCTGCCTGTCATGCAGCCCTTGATGGCTTGCCAAAACTCAGTAAGTGGCCCTCCGCCCAAAAAATTGCCTGCCCCTAATTTAGGCTGATGTATATATTTAAAGGCATGCATTCCTAGCTGCTATTAAACACAAAAGGCCTTACCTCTCTATTTAGTAGCTTCAGGAGCTGCTAGGTGTTAGTTATCCTCTGTCTGTTTTTTGAATCAGCCATTCAAACATCCTCACCTCTTAGTATTTATTATGATGTGACCATTCCATTTCAATGCTCTTGATAGAGGAAATTGGGCAAATGTTCAAGACCAGTGTGACACCTACTCCCAAATCAAGCTGAATTTACTATCATTCCTCAACAAGAGTCAGTATTTCACTAAGAACCGATGTTGCCCTATGGAACATCAGTTTTGCTGTACAACTTGTGAGATGAAAACAACACTCAGGGTCTTTCTAATTTTAGGGTCACATCCTGTGAGGTGCCAAGCTTTCTGACTACTGCTGAGTTTCATGAAATGTTTCTGAATTACATTAAGTCACGGGGAACATTAAGCCCCATCTTTGTTTTTTTTCATTTTGTTTGCTTTTATAACCAGCAGAGGCATAGCGGGGCAGGTCCATGCTTGGGGCAGCCACTAACACCTGGGGCAGTACCGCCTCTGGCTATGCTGATTGTGGCAGGGTAGTCAGCTGTCACTGAAGTGGCAGCTGCTTTTGCATCCCACACAAAGGCAAGGGATCGCCTCCCCCCAGTATGTTACTGATAACTAGATTCCTATTCAAACTGTAACATTCTTGATTGCATGACTGCATTTTATTTTCTGACAGTTCACACAACACACAGCGTGGGAAGATTCACTTTCTGGGAAGTTTAAAAACAGCCAAACTCCAGTTCTGTTCAGTTTCCCCTCCTCCAAGTCAGTTTTAACAAATTAAAGAAGAACATCACAGGTTATTGTGAGGCTTTCAATTTTTTCAGCAAGCTGGTGACTCTAATCACTACTGGAGCAGCTTCTCCTTTCCTTTTGAAGCTTGTCACTGAAGTCACAGTTACATGGAGAAAGGAACCTGGGATCTATTTGTAATCCCTTTAAGGGTGGAAGTTAAGGGGTTTCACACAGAGCCTGACCACAACTTTACTTATTAAACCACAAAAAAGAATTTTTAAAAATCTACTTACTTCGTAAGGCTTGGACTGGGAAAGAGCTGCTGCTACCAGCAGGGGGCAGCGAACATTTCTGGCAGACACACTCTTTCCCATTGAAAGTCACCCGGTCACCAGGAGGAAAAGGCAGCCTGTCATAGAAGAAATAAAAACATTACAGCAAACCTAATCATCCTCAGTGAGCTACAATATCCCTTTCCATGAAAAAAAATTATTATTGTTTGGATATTTTACCTAGTTGTCCTTCATATACGGAAATCCAAGATTTGTCAATGACTCAAAGTCTAAAATATCAAAGGCAGTATCAAATAGGCAACTTCAAATGCAGAAATCAAAGCTACTCAGAAAAAGAATACTGCAGAGAGGAGAAAGATACTCAAAAGCCAGGGCAAAAACCAGTGTAGCAACAGGGATGGCTGATAGCTATCAAGCTCACTTTTGGAATTAAAATGTAGCTAGAATAATTTCTTTTTAATGAATACAGACAAGTATAATTGATTTTATAGTGTCTGATTCATGTTGGTAAAATATTAAATGATAGCTATTAGTTTTCTTTATGAAAAAACTTTTTGAAACAATTTAATCCTGACCAGCAAATTGATCCTGCCAGCTGTGATAATATCAAAGCTATTTTTTGAATGTGTTTATTCAGAAATAAAATGGATGTGAACGTCCCTGGGGAGAAATATACCCTAGTTATAAAAATAGATGCAACTAAAGTTGCTTGTTCTACTGAACTACAGCTCCTTCCTTCTATTAGCTTCCTCACAACAAAAGACTCACCTTACTAGATTTGTTGCTCATGCACATAAACTGCACAGGTTGGTTTGGAAAGGAGAAGCTGGACAAATCACTTGACAGTGCAGCAGAGGATAGAATGGTTTACAGTCATATCTCAGTCTAGGTTAAATTCACATCCACACAAGCCCACATACTACTAAATCCAATATAATCCACCAAACTGTTGTTACCTGTCAGCTCTGTGTTCCTGAGGGAGCCTTGGCACCCAGCTTGCTGGACTTAAAAGGACTTTTTCTATTCCCCACCCCTCCCCCCGCCCACACTCATACCTCATCTAAC